TTTTTTTATCCAGTCTCAGGCAGATAATTCACATGAATGTTGTTGTTAACAACCTTTTCTCTGTATCTAGGGATTTTGCATTTTAAATGTTTAGTTTCATAAAAAATGGAAACCTGAGAAACTCTCTTGAAAATCATAAATAAGCAAAGCCAAGAATACACTTTAGAAACATCTAGGTTGTTATGACACCCTACCCACACTGCCTCAATTTGAAAATCATAAATAAGCAAAGCCAAGAATACACTTTAGAAACATCTAGGTTGTTATGACACCGTACCCACACTGCCTCTCACACTGATTTTAAATCTCATGTTTTCCTTTTATTTTTAGTGAGAGTTTGCAATCATAAATTTTAATAGATTTATCCCTCAGACGGTGTCTACCATGTGAAGTTTAAAATCTAAGGCCAGAATGTGTTCACTGATGCTAAAATTCTAGCAGCAAAAACAAATGTCTTATCTCTGTAAATACTCTCACCTCCTACTTTTAGTTGTCTATGCAACTACATGAATAACGTTCTTGGTCATTCTTACATAGACTACCCCATTCCAACCTGTCATTCCTTCCCATGTTCTTTCTATACTCCAGAGTGTCCTATTCCCCTCATCCCACACATCCAATTTCAAAACCCATAACCACCAGCACAAGGGCCTGAGTTTGATCCCCAATACAAAAAAAAAAAAAAAAAATTCACAACCCATTCTCTTATTGAGATCTAATTCAAATACTACCACACCTGGACCCTAGGCCTTGAGCCCAATCAGTGATTATTCTATCATCCATGAACATTTCTAGCATTTGTGGATGTATTTTGATGCTTGTGTCCACTCCGATGCTAGGGTAGATGTTGATAGCTTCTGTTCTTTGAGGAGGACTCTTTCAGTCAATTAGTAAAATCTTATAGCACAGAAACACCAGACCCAACACTTAAGGCTAAATTTTAGAAAAGAAAGTAAAGATGGTTTCATACTCCCAGTAAATGCTTGGCTTTTGTCCACCTGCTTTTAAAATCTGACTTTAGAGCCCAACAGGAAATACTTAACCTAAGTGGAAGGAGGGGTCCCTGGTTCCAAGTGATCTGTTTTTGTTTCAAGTATGATCTAATTCAATCAGTGGTTTGTTCGGATTGCACGTCCCCTAGGAAAATAACCAAAGTTTGCTCAAAATGTGCCTTTTATTTCCCTTGTCACCTAGACTCCAAGTCAAATTTTCTTTCTATTGATTTCAAAGTAGTACAAATCAAAACCTGCTGCCAAGACCTGGTGAGCCACTGATACAGATCAATATCTTGCCATGATAACAATCTTCAGCCAGATCAAGGTAAATGCTCTTCTCTTTACCAGACCCTAACTTAATTAGTAGAGTTTTTTTTTCTGGAAAAAAATGAATAAATTTCCAGATATTTAGAGAGTTTTTAATAAAATTTCTCTATTTACTACTAAATATATGATTAAGGAGTAATAATAGCTAAGATTATGTGAATATTTCTTTATGCTAACTCAATTTATCCTTTCAACCTTTTTTTTTTTTTTTTTTTTTTTTTTTTTTTTGTACCAGGAATCAAACTTGGGATCCTGTGCTTGTGACATAGGTGGTGGCACCACTGAGCTAAACCCCAGCCTCAACTTTTGTTTTTTAAGAGTAGGAAAGATTTATTGAAAGAAAGGAAGCTTCTGTCTAAGAAGCACAGAAGGGGGACTGGTAATTGGGTTGCCCACTCAACCAACTTCTAAAAGGCGTTTTATGGGACAAAGCCAAGAGGTAAGGTAGGTTCAAGGTCGGGCAAAACTATAGTCAACAGTGAGATTGCAAGTACAGTCGCATAGGTAATGTTGGATCCACTTATTGCAGACAGATAAGTTAATTAGATATCTTCTAGACAGTCAGACAGGGCTGCTCTCAAGGAGCCAACACAGCAAGGAGCAAACATGGAGGACATCAAGACAAATTTGCTGAAGGCCAGAATTGCAAGAAAGAAACTACTATACCCTTGTGCTTCACCTGGTGATAAAGAGCAGTAAATGATATTCTAAATAGGTATCAGTCACCTGGGTGGGGGTCCAAGTTCTTAACCCAGCCTTTCCAGTAACTATCCCTGACCCCTGCCTTTACTGAAAATCCTTGTATACTTGCTATGTGACTTGCTCCCCCAGTTAACCTCCCATTTAATCAATATTACCTGGTGACTGCACTTGTAATCCTACCGGTGGTCATGGTTTTGGCCCACCTTGTAATTTTCCATTGGGTCTTACAGTTTTGTGCCACTGAGTCACAGTATGTACCCACACATTTCCCCATTTGACTACCAAGCAGGCAACCAGAGCCCAGGTCTGGCTGGAACCACTCAGAGTTGAGGTGTGGGTTATCCTCCAGAGATCCCCTGGGGAGTCAGACAAAAGAGAGTCTTCAGGACTTTGCCTGAGTTCTCATATTTGCATGACTTACATAATTCAACGTTAGTTGCTTTGCTGTTTAAAGGGTAAATTGTGCAGAGATGGTTTAGATTCTACATTAGCCTCTTTTTAACTCTGCCTTTGGACACATTACCTAATGTCACTGTGTTACCATTTTTGTATATAATCATTTAATGCAACCTTTCAGTGAATATTTGCTAAATATCTAATATATGTCAGTTTCATCAACAAATAATACAGTTTCCAAGAAGATGGTGACTGTTGGATAAAAATATTTTGTCATAGAGGGGATGGGGAAGAGGTGGGGACATAGATGAGTGTTGCAATTTTCAGATAGATGATCCCTCTGGAAAGATGTCACTACAGCATAAAGAACAGCTAGAACAAAGACCACAGGGGCAAGGAGGCAAGCATGCTGGGTAGGAGGAGACCAGGGCTAGTAAGAGTGGGGGCAGGGAATGGAGTAGCAGGTGAAATCAGAGAGGGAACTAAAAGCCAGCTCCCACAGCACCTTGCAGACCAATGTTGACACTTTAGCTTTTACTCTCCTGGACAGTAGGTACCATCATGGGCTTTTGAAGAAAACAGTGACTATGATTTAGGGTTCTAAAAGTCACTGTACTGTGTTGGCAATAGACTGAGGCTTTGGAGAAAGAGATGTAGGAATTAAAAGTAGAATCTGCATTAAGAGGTGAGAGGATGGGAACCAACATGGAGGACAATCGGGGTGCATTTAGGGAAAGCCAGGGTTATGGAAGAAGAGAAATTACCATACCCTCATAGCATGAATAGCAGTGATTGGTATTCTAAGTAGGTATCGATCACCTGGGTGGGGGATCAAGATCTTCCAAGAAAGATCCCTGACCCACCCCTTCCCCATTTAAGCAATATTACCTAAGTGACTGTACTTATCATAACCTTGTACATAGCTTCGTCGACCTTGTGATTTCTCACTGAGATATAGGGGGAAGAGTTGGAACTCCCAAACCTACTAGATATCCAAAATGCGAATTTGAGTTCTCTAAAATTGAAGAATGAATTCTAGAAACAATGGAGGATAAGAGTAGGAAAAATTTATTGAGGGAAAGAAAGCTTCTGTCTAAGAGAGACAGAAGAGAGACTGGAAAGTGGGTCCTACTTCCTCCCACCGCTATGCTTGAAGAGGTGGAACAGTGGAAATTACCCAGGAACTTCCAGAAGAACCAGCCTCAAAGAAAGCACTGAAAAATCTATACTCTCCAGCATACATTAACTTTCCTGTTCCTCTGTTTTGTGAACTAGAAGACAGTATACCAAATGAAATACAAAGCCAGCATTTTATCTTTACTTATCTCCACAGTGGAATAAAAGTAGCCCTCCTCCAAAAAAGAAAGAAATGGGTTTTCTTCTTTCTTCAAAAAATAAACTGCTATGACAAGCACAAATTTACATCACAGATGCAAACAGAAACAAACAACGTGAATTTTAAGAAACATTTGAAGTAAAAAGATTCAAGTTGTTGTTTTGACTATAAAAGCTAAGTTTGATATGAAGTATAAATTGAAAGGATTTATTCATGTGTTGTCTGAAAGAACGAGTTCCCAATGTCTGCATTCTAAATATTTCCACATTTTTTCCCAAAAAGTAAAGAGTTAGTAATTTCTTTGGAAAGCTCATATATTATTTAATAACATAGATGACAATTATTAGTTGCACTGAATTTTTAATTTCCCTGTGTATCAGATTGTAGAATAATGATGACTGGAGTCTGGGAGTGGCTGAAGGAAAGAAGACTCATGGGATGTTGAATAATGAGTACCCAAGAATGGTTAGAAATGAGCCATAGTTCTAGTGTTCTACAGCACAGCGGAGTGACTATATATCACAATAATCTATTATGTATTTTTGGAATAAGTAGAAGTACTCAAAGGCTCCAAATACAAAGTGATAAGGAAATAGAAACATTAATTGCTCTGATTTGATCAGTACATTAAGTACAGATAGATATAGATATCAGACTTACCTCATAAATATGTACAATCAATATATAATAATCAAACAATTTTTAATTGTTTAAGGAGATGGAAATAGTAACTACCTTAATTTGACCATTATACACTGTATACATGTATCAAATTATCACAAAGTACCTAGAATGTTGTATTTAAAAATAAGTATTTCAAATATTTAATTTTTCTCCTTTTATTCCAATGATGGGTTCCATTAATATATATCAACTGGGTTTCCACTTTTATATTTCCATTCATATATATATTTATATATATATAAATTTAAATTCATATATATTCATATATATATTTATATATATATAAATTTAAATTCATATATATTCATATATATATATATATATAAATCTAAAATAATATTAAAATCTTACCCTTTGTTTGTTAGAATCGTGTTGCTCCTTTCTTCCACAAATTAGGCAGCTACATATATATGAATCTAACTAGCAAGAGCACAAAAATGTAATGTTATTTCACTCATCTTAACCTCTATTTCAATTCCTTATCCTATTTGATGACAGAAGAATTTATTTGATTCCAATTTTTCCCCAACTGACTCAACATTCTCTGTTTTCTTCATCAGGAAATAACTGCTTCCTGGCATTGGCTCTCCCCCCATGGGGCAGTTGAGGAGCTTCATGAGTGGCCATCAGCTGCCCACCCCTGCACTGCCTGAGACACACCTCCTCTCCTGGACACCTTGCTTGGAGCTGCCTAGCCCTCTGGCTGCATTGAGCTATCTGCATCCTGTCCCCACCCCACACACCTGCTCTTGCTCCTCAAGTAGCATTTTTCTAATCATTTTTGCATCATAATAAAATTAATGGCATCTTTATTCTTTTTATGCCCACTCAAACATGTGTCATTTTATTCCAGCTCGTGTAAATATGTACATAGCTGAACAATCCAATACTCCTTTATGAAAAAAGATTGAAAAAATTGGTGAAAGGAATCTTACATGGAAATAACTAGAAAGCATTTCTTTTTTAATACTAATTTTTTTATATTTATTTATCAAAGTAGTAAATGTACATGCTGGTTATTAGCAACACTCCCCAAACCCATCTCTTTCCTTCAACAGACTCAATCTCTAGCTGTTTGTTGCACTGCCCCTGCTGCTTATTTATAGCTTATCAATGTTTATTTATTAAATGAAATAAATATAAATATTTTATTAACACGCATTGACAACATTTTATATCACATGCATTATTCATGTCATATTCATTATTCATTTGAAGCTATGTTTAATATTTATGTTATAGGCATTAAAATTTTATTCATATGTATATTTCATCAAATATATTTATTAATAATTTCTGGAACTCTTTTTTATCAATTCTTTGCTGTGCCAACTCTCAATTCTTGATACTTGCCGTTAACTTCCTGCTATGGTGGGTGAAGATTGATGTAACGCTACAATCACTCACCCCGCTACACTTACCTCCCAATTTGTGTAGCTTTCCTTTTTCTTCCTTAGATACCCTTGCATACTACTTCTTGTGTCAACTAAGATAGCAATCGTTTACCTACCATTTAGCAATATTAAGCTTTCCTACTCTCTTTGACTCTTCTCTACCCCAGCTTTCCCTTCTAAATTTTGTCACTCTTATGCTTAATATACTGTAAAGATGAATAACATGTATATTTTGCTCTGTAACCATGAGTAGCCCTCTGTGTTCTGCCAATATGTTGTTCTAGAAGTCAAAAATTAAAACTTTACATTATTATGACTACATACATGTTTTCAAATGCAAAAAAATCATGAAAACAATTCTCCTCTTTTGTTTTTAATTTTAGAGTTCATTTGCTTTGTTTGTTGCTTTCTTTTTTAGAAAAGTATCTTTTTTGTAATGTAGGCTTTTTGGCGTCCTCAAAGACTTTTTTTTTTCACAGCAAAAACTATCAGGTTGATTTTTATTTTAAAAGTTAATGTAAGTTTGATACACAATGGGAAAGTAAAGTTAAAATATATAAACTTAGTTCTTAGGTTTTTAAGTTAATCTTACAAATTTTAATTTCTATTTACAAACCTAACATATTTGACCAAGTCCTTTTAACACTGCTTTTCAATAATATTTGTTCCATTTATAAATTTACTTATTAAAGCCTTTAAATATTTGCATCCATTTAATAATTTAATATCAAGTATCACTTATTCGCTCCAAAACAAAATCTCTACTACGAAGCAATTTTTAAAGTTCTAAGAAAATCATAAATGTGGTGAACATCGAGTTTTCCTAAAATTCTTAACTTGTAAGGTTTAATCTTTAAAATTATCAATGTAATTTATTGCTAAATTAAAAATTACAAGTTAGTGTCACAAGAATATCTAATAGACAGAATTCCAAATTTGCATAAATTCCTTACTGCAAAAAAATAAACTGCTTTGAATCTTGACGTTTTTCTGCCACTTTTCAACAAAACAATTATCTTTTCAGGTAAGACTACTTTAAGCAGTTCTCTACTAAATCATTTATGCTCCCATTGTTAAACAACACTTACCTTCTAATGCAAAGATTTCTTGGTTAAATGAGGTGACTTTGAAACGAACATTTTACCCGGGCATGAGCCACAGAGCAATAGACATTCACAGTAAATATTCTTGCTTCTCTCTTAACACACCACTTGTAACATCTCGAGGAACTCTGGAGACTGGCTTCTTAAAAAAATGACCAGATTTTGGACCCTACTTGAGAACACTAATATGAATGACTGAGACATATCTATAACCTCAGAAGAGCTAATTCCTCAGTTGATGCATGTAAAGCTACAACCTTTCTCAAACTGATTACTTATTTGTATATGGCATTTCTTTTGCTCCTAAAACATATAAATATCTATCTGAGTGGAAAGACTTTAAAATGTAACACAACCTATATTCATTTCATGTACACCTTACTATAACACTGAACAACTATTAAAGAAATAGCCAGCTAAATTCCGGGTGTATTTTTGTTTTTTATCACATTGTTATACAATCATAATTTCTGAACGTGTTTACTGACTTTCAAATTTTTTCAATATCTCCATGTAAACCCTAAAAGAATTTACTGACTCTCAAAAATGGACTTCTTATCTCAACCTGGAGTTATACCTTCCAAACTCATGCCACTAATTTTATCCTAGGAATTCCTTCTACTGCTTTTCTCAGTCCATTAAAAAAATAGCTCAAATATTCCTCCTTAGTATACTTCATTTTGCTGAATTACATCCTTGAGTGACTCCCTAATGAATTATACTTGGAAAAGAAATTGTCTTATTCATTTATATGTATCAAAATGTATTCTGACCTTACTTTCTATTGATAGTTTTCTGGGTTGAAAATCATTTTCACTCAGGATTTTGATACTACTGTTTTACCATCAAGCACTTCCAATAAAAAGTTTGATGCTATTATGCTTTGTATTTCTTCATAGGTCATTTGCCTTTGTGTGTATAATTGTTTTTCATCTCTGGACAATAGGAGTACCTTCTGTTTATCATAAAGATTTCAATATTTCTATCATAAATGTCTAGGACAGTCTTGTTCCTATTGGTCTGAAGACTCAGGGACCCTCTCATTCTGGAGGCTTGTGCTTTACAGGTTTGAGAAGTTTTTGTGTATTATTTATTTGATAGTCTACCCTTTGCATTTTTTTATCTGGAATTCTCTACTTAGATGTTAAAACCTTATTAATGGTTCTTTGTTCAAGTATATTTTATTGCAATTTTATTGTAACTTCTGGAAGATCTTTTCCATATTATCTTTCATTTCTTTTATTAAATATTGTTAATTTTTTCATTCTTTTGGATTAATTGTTTTGTTTATTGGTACATTTTAGGTATACAGTACAGTTATATTCATCATTGGGATCTTGTACCTTTACATGACAGGTCTTGGTTCTCATTTTTTCCCCTTATCCCTGACTTAACTTCACCCCCTTCTCCCCTCCCCATTTACAAACACTTTATTTCCATTTTTTCCATTTTCTCATATTTTTTCTTTTCCCTTATTACCTTCCCCTACTTTTCCCTCTTTCCCTATACCTTTAGCCCTTTCTTCCTATTTCACATTGTCCATTATCTCATTAGGATATTATGTACTATTATAGTTTTTCACACCAGAGAAACTATTTGGTATTTGGATGAATTTTTATCTGATAGTATCATTTTCTTACATGATGTTCTTTTGTTTGAATGCAATAACTTCTTGACTCTTTTACTATCAATGTTTTGTTTTGTTTAATTTGTTTATTTTTGTTTCTCTTCTTCTTGTAGAAGATTTTATCCAAATTTCTGATTTTTAAAGTCTCAAATTTTCTTTTCCAAATTAAATAGGCTTTGTCACATGGTAAGATTTTTACCAGGGTAGCTGTACATAGCCTCCTATTATAATTTAGAATCAGCTGGAGAATTTTTTTTAAAAAAATACATAGTGCTAGTTTTACTCCAGGAAGTCAGATGCAGGGCCAGGCATTAGTTTTCTAAATTATCTTTTTTATAATTATCTTTTAAAAATCTACTCTGAATGTTTTGCGGGGGTTTTAGGGTGGTGGTGGTAGTTTTCTAAGGAAGAACCTTTAGATGTTTTGCTTGGAGCACTGACAAAATTCAAGTGTGAGCAATTGCCGTGGGAGTATGGAGGAAGTTTATCACATGATGCGCAGACTTTCAGTTGATCTATTTTCAGCTCCCACTTCATGTCTTTTGTTGGTCACACCTGACTTTTCCAAGTTCTCAATCTCTCTGTGATTCTTCAAAGTCAAGCAGCTTCCACTCAGGTGAGATCATCCTCCAACTATTCTGGTTTGTAGCTTTTTCAGCCACATTTTCTGACTGTCTTTATAATTCATATGAATGAATTGGTGTTGGAAGAGGAAAAAATGTCCATTTTAACCCCTTTCCTTTAACCCCTTTATGCTTTTAACTCTTATACATAAGAAAGTAGAGTCTACCCACTGTTTCTGCAGAGCATAGGAAGGAACTTGGAGTACTCATAGGAAAGTCAAGGCTAGTTATGGCTGGAGAGGTAACTTTTACTGTATAACGAAGAGAGAGGAATGCAGTGGGATGAAATTTAGTTTTAAATGATAGAGTGGAAAAATTTAAAAAGGATTAAGAAGGCCAAATAATTCAGAAGAGAAATCATAGTACTTTCAAAGATAAGAATGTCATGTTGTTATTTTTGTTGTTGTTGCTAAGATATAAAAATTTTGTTGCTCCATACAGTGCCTTTGAAAATGCGGGGTTATTTTTCTTCATGGAAATAAAAGAAGCATAAATACAACTTGAATGAATATTCATCCGAATTGGCACCTGGCAGGAAAAAGAATCTGAAGCTTGGAGTAAATCAGAAAATATTAAGCGCCCTCTTGCTAGTGCCAAGGTCACCACCACCATTCATGAAGATTTGAGGCAATTTTAGTAGACAGTGGTAATATGTACATAATACTTTCCTTGAAATATAATTTTAGCCCATTACCCAGCTTTGGTAAAGATAATGGCTTTTTAATAATCATTAAATTCTAGGAGTGAGCAATTTAATATTGCTGTCAAACTATACTACTGTTCTTTTGTCTGTCCAACTAGGAACGAATCAAGTGTGCTGCTGAGGCTGGACTGTAAGATCTTTCAGCTGCATTTCCATTGTCATGTTCCATGACGAGAACAAGAATGCATGTTCCTTGTGCCTGAGAAGTGTCAACTGGGGTAAGAAGGTCAGGAGATGTAGATTTGTTGAGAATAAAATTTAATATCGTTATACAAATAGAC